TTGATTTAGTTTTATGCGGTTTTAAAAAATTATGGAACGTATCCTTTATTTTTATACGTGTGTTCTTTTTTGAACGTATCTACCGCACAAAAAGAGAACCAAGTGTATATAAACAAAAAATGTATAAGAGACATCGATGAAGTTTTTTTGAATTCCGTGGAAACGCTTAATCATCAATATAAATAAAGGCTCAATCACCACCAATCAACCATCGACTAAACAGAGAAAATTTGAAGAAGAAAGGGCAAGCACAAACTCAAATGAAAGTGCATGTGTTCAGTCACTAATTAAATTTTATTTCTTTTGTATTTTCAATTTTATAATTAAAAACAATAGTAAGAGAATTTGGTAAATAAAATCAAATCAAAATTTGACTCGATTTTAAATTTTAACTAACCAATTTAAATTGCTTTATTTCGATTTTAAATTTTAATTTCAACGGAAACTGAACCGAAATTTTTAGACGAACCGAAACCGAATCTGGAACAATAAACATTTACTTGGAACGTAACCGTATACCGGAACGAAATTAATTTCGGTTAGACTCTCTGATTTGAACATATAAACATATAAACATATCAATATTTCTTTAATACCAATTATTTCAAAAACCCTTCAATTATAATTATTTCATATATTCCATTTCCTTGTCCACTTATATTTTTTTATATAAAAAAATCTTTCCTTCCAATTAATTTCGATACTTCAGTTATAATAAATTTCGGTTCATTACTGTAAAAGAAAATGGATATAATTCATTTCATTTGCAATCTTCCAGCTCTATCCAGTAAATTCCAGCTCTAATCGAAACTCGTAAATATCTAAAGATAAATTTAAAAAAAGAACAAAGTGTCTTTAATATCAAATTACTTATTATCCAATTACTTATAGTTTCACCACATTCTCATCAAGTTTAACGAAGTAAATCAGAGCAGACGGATGCATTATTATGTAAGATTATCAATTGTGGTTACGAACGAGCATTGTCGGAATCTTAGTAGACACACTATATGTGAGTGTGTGAATGTGTATATAGAATTAATGTTGAAATTTGCCAGGATGTGCGGTTGGGAATGCGTTCGTGGGTGGTAAGAGCAACAAAGACCCGAAATGCCAGAGACCTTAAGAAACTATTAAGGGCTGTGCTTGGGCCCTTGTAGTATAATTTACGAGCGATAATGGTTATCCCTTTAAAACGCGGCCATCAGAACAAATTATTAAGTGTTACTTTGAGAAAGGATTCGGGCAAGACAAGGCGGAATTCAACATAATAATAAAAAAAACATATACAAGGATACACAAGAGACGCAGCTTGTATAATCCGAAGGAGTAATGGCAATTCCTTTTCGCCGCTCGGATTTAATGATGCTCCCGGATAGTTATAAAAAAAACGAGTGTAAACAGAAAATGTTGCAATTTTTTTATTTTTGTTCGGATTGTGCACTGCACTAACTCGAATAAATACAAATTTTAATTACAGCAAGGAGAAAGACGATATTGCTTTACGTCTTTCGTACATCATTAAGTTCACTACAATTATGACTCAATGCAACAAGTGTAATAAAATTAAAAGAATAAAATTGAATACAAGAATTTTATACATAAATTTTCAAATAAAATTCATTGAATCGATTTGTATAAAATACACAAATTTCCATTTTTTTTTATCCAAATGCAAATAAATTTATATTTTCCAATTAAAATAATTCAAATTTTATTCAATTTATTTATTATACAAAAAAATATATTTTTATTTTATTATTTATTTAAATTCAATTACATTTTTTTATTCATCAAATCTAATCGGAATTAAATCAATTCATATGGATGTATGTAAATTAATTACTTGAAATATAATGTAACTTCAGATAAGAGATATTTTCAATTAAATTAAATCTTTTCAATTAATTTTTTT